GTGTCTGGCTGGACAAATTAACCCTAGAGTGGAACATTAAAAAAACTGTGCCGTGGATATTCGTAAACCTGTGGAATTAGGCCATCAGGCCGCGGATACAAATATTTGGGGACCTTGAATCTTGGCCTAAACACTTGGGCAACTGGAACAGAATGGCACAACAAGGACAATTTTGGAATGAAATAAAATCTACCCTTCAAACAATATTAGAAATAGTGAGATCCCATTATCAGGAGACAAAACTATCTAATCAACATCAGAAGAATCATAGCCCGCAAGCAACAGGGAACAATGAAGAAGGAAATGAGAGTGTTTCAGATGATGTATGCCAATCAAAACAGGAGCTGGAGGAAATTAATCTAAGAGAAACGTCAGTCTTGAATGAGAGGAAAAGCCTGGAAGATTCACTGAAGATAGACCAAGTACATAAAGAGTTAATGGACATAAATCAGATGTGCAAAATGGTTTCAGAGGACATGAAAGATGACAGAATGCTTAGAGACACAGAAATACTAAATGTAAAAAGAGAAATCAGAGAGGTAATTACCTAGAAAGATGAAAAAGGGGAAAACAAGGAAGGGCCCCTTAATATTGAAAATATGTATATATTTAACATCGGGAATCGTTAAAGGGTATACTTTGTATATTAAAAAGGAGAATTAAATTGAAATAAGGGAGCCCTAATCAGGGTAAAGAGGTAATCTGGTGGTTTTTTATTTTAGGTAAACTGAACTAGATATAAAGCTGGGTCATAGGTCTGGAACCACTTTCAATAATAATGTTATCAGAAGACCTTGAGAAGATTATACAATATGAGAGTAATATTATGATAGTAGTCATATTATATACTAAAATCTGTACATGAATGGATTGAATGTTTGAAAGATGTCTGGAATTTTGGGGGGACAACCGGGAAGACACTGAAATGTAAAAAACAAATAATTGTAAGCAAAGCATGTACCACGATGTTTGATAAGCACAAACAATGTAGATAGATTGAAAACTAATAAAATGTTTATTAAAAAAATGTACTGTTAGATCCACAGTTAGACTGTAACATTCTAAGCATTTGAGAATGATAAATGTATAATTAAGAAAGGAAACATTGTATGTGTAAAGGCAAAACTAGAGAACAATCTGTATGTGCTAAAGAGTAAAACACAGAGTGACACACATGCCATAGTGAAAAACACACCCCAGCACAATCAGTGAGCACATTTGTTGCATAGGAGATTGGGACATGTGAATTTCAGAACACTGCAAAAGATAGAAACAATGGCAAAAGGTGTGAAACTGAAAGAATGTAAAAATTACTTAGACTGTAATGTTTGCAAATTGGCAAAGTCAAAAGTGAGCCCCAAAAGCAAGGAGCGCACCAGTCAAACGAAAGGACTTTTTCAGTTGGTGCATGCTGACATAATTGGGCTTTTTGTGCCATCTATTGGTGGAGCAAGATATGTATTAGTCATAATAGATGACTATTCAAGATATTCATTTTGCTACCTGTTAAAAACCAAAACAGAAGTGTTCAATAACTTTAGGAAGTGGGTAAAAATTTGTAGAAAAACATTATGGCCACAAGGTGGTGCAAATTCAGACAGACAGGGGTTCTGAGTTTCTGTCGAAAAAGTTTCAAAATTGGCTGGAAAATAATGGGATATTTCACAGAAAGACAAGTCCATAGTCACCCTTCCAGAATGGAGTAGCAGAACGTAGAAGTGGCGTTCTACAAATGATGAAGGATGCCTTGTTAGCAGACGCTAACATGAGTCATGGTTTTTGGGATAAAGCTATTCTTACAGTGAATTATATTGTGAACAGAATTTGGTCATCAGCAATAGAGCAAACCCCATATTTTATGCTGTACGGGAGAGAGCCATCCTTACAGCACATGAGGTTATTTGGTTGCAGTGCATGGGTACATGTCCCAAAAGAGACTAGGAGAAAGGGCAAACCTAAAACGAGATTCTTGGGATATGAAAGAGGCTCAAAAGCATATCGTTTCCTAGATGGAAACAGGGATGTGGTAATCTCAAGGTCTGCAAGTTTCTGTGAACACGAGAATTGGGATAGGATTCATGCTAACTCTCAAGTTTACATCCCTATCACTGACAGAGGAAGAAGTGAGAAAAGGCAGTTAGAGCCAAGAGAAGAGGCTGAAGAGAGCACGAGCCAGAACACATCAGGAGATGAAGAGGATGATGGATAGTGTAGTGAGGCAGAAAGTGAGGTAGAAATTAAGGAAGAACCACAAATCAAGGAAGAGCCACAAAACCCCAGGAGATCTTAGGTAGACATTGCAGTAGCAGTAAATATATACTGGTAAAGCACTGGCAAAGAGTGAAAAGAGTATTCAGATACTTGAAGAGAACAAGTGACAGGTGTCTAGTTATAAAACCTTCAAAATTATTAAAATTGATGGCTTATGTAGACAGTGATTGGGCAAACGACAAAACTGATAGAAAATCAATGTCTGGATTCACAGTGTTATTTGCAAATGTGTTGGTAGGGTAGTAATCTAGAAAACAAAGTTCCATCACTACTTCAACAGCTGAGGCTGAGTTTGCTGCTTTGTCAGAGTTGTGCTCAGAAATAATATGGTATAGAAAAATGATCAAAGATCTAAGGATTGAAGCATATAATGCAATAAAAGTGTTTAAGGATAACACTACTTGCATCCACATGACAGTGACGGAAAATATGAGAAACAGAAGTAAACATGTAGACATCAAATACCATAATGTCAGAGAAGCAATAAAAGAAAAACTGATAGAGTTACAGTACTGTGAAACAGAAAGAAACATTGCTGACATAATGACGATACCCTTAAGTGCACAAAGACAAAGAGATAACCAAGGAAACGGGTATGAGTTCTGCTCAGGCGTAAATTAGGAGGGGTGTCAGAGTATAATATTTACAGGCCTGAGCAGAACAAATGTATTAATGAGCAGCCATGATGTTCAGGTGTGTCAAAATGCTGGGTCACAGTGACTCAGGAGGGCTGGCTCAAAGATGATGCAACATCTGTGCTGATTGGATATAGCCAGATGCATAAGTGTATATATGTGGACTGTATAGAGAAGATGTATCCCCGCTCTTCTCATGAATTCATGGTGTCATGCTGTCGCTCTATATTTGTAAATACACGTCTGGTGCTGGAAGAAGCTGATCGTGTCTGAGTGAGTCATTTTGCCATCAGGACCTTGAAGTTACTCTGCTAGAATTTTCTACGTTTTCACGCACTAACAGGAGAAGGGGTCAAGGAGGGGTAAAATACAAACAATGCTGCTTGTCCTTATTCTAAATTCAAACCTGTTTGGGAATACAGAAAAGTATGCCTTGTATCCTAATTACAACCTGAAGGCTATAGTTTGACTTGAGGGGATTTAGAAAAGTAGATATGGCTTCACTACTTGTTCTGGTTAAGACAGTATCCTCAATGATAGGTGGGTGTGTAGGAAGAGAAAAAGAGTAGAATTAGAAAATTGACCTGGATTTTTTATTTTCCTATTCCCACTTGGTTCTTCTTCACAGTACTGCATTGGAGGAAGGCTAGATAAACTTTGTACCAAAGACATTTTTAATCTTTTGCCATCAGAAATTTTATATTCATCAATGTTTATTTTCCTTCCAATCTGCCTTCAAAACTGCTTGTTTTCAACAAGCTTTTAGCAAAAACAGGGATGGAATAAAAGTAGGGAAGGATGTAGAGATGAGCTACAATAAAGCAGTAGAGGCAAGAACAGTAATTGCAGGGGAGACTAGAAGTTGTGCAAGACCCTGAAGCTATCTTAGTCCTGCGTGATGTATTGCACACTGCCTACCCACATACATGTATATATAGTTCAAAACAACATACTGTTTCTGGAAAGTCCACCCCCACTACAGGCTGGTGATTACAGCTAAACTCAGACAGAAAAGGAAAGCCAAAAGAGGGTAGCAGATGATATCATAATTCCTGCTAACCAAAAATTCCTATTTAAGTCCTGACTCGAGTAAATTACTGTGCATTCCTAGAACACAGAATGTTTAAGATCTAACAAAATATAAGAAGAGTTTCAGGACAATGAAAAAACACAGCCAGTGTTCAAATTCACACTAGTTATTTATCAGCAGGTGCCACCAACAATTTGGGCAGGGTAAGTCCCAACTATTTACCGCAGTGTCAGTGTATAGTCTCCCTGTTTCTTTGTTGATGCATCTCGCACCAAAAATGTTCCATCTGGCATGTCTCGTAGTTTGTCATTTACTTCTTCCCTGCAAGATTGGAAGGTGGATAAAAACACAGTATTATTTTTAATATGTTCTTGTCCTTAAGAGTACTATTAACTGTGCAGAATGTAGGGAGTTCCACTTTATTTTGCTACCAAGATGAGTTCAGATTTGCTCTTTAAACCATCTACTTTTAGACTTGTTCAGTTAATACAGTGGTACCTCGACTTACGAACTTAATCCGTATTGGAATTAAGTTTGTACATCAAAAAGTTTGTAAGTTGAGGCAAACTTTTCTATAGGAATGCACTGAAAACCATGTAATCCGTATCTGCTGTTTTCTGTTTGTAGGTTGAGGCGCTGTTTGTAGGTAGAGGCATTAGTTCCCATAGGAACTAATCCAAAGCGGGTTAATTCATACTCTACCACTTAGGTAAAAAAATGGACAGGAAAGGTTTTCTTTTTCTTTTCTTTTCTTTCTTTTCTTTTTGTTCATAAATCGAGGCTTTGTTTGTGGGTCAAAGCAACTTTTTGCGAACAGAGCTGTTCGTAACTCGAATCGTTCACAAGTAGAGACATTCATAAGTCTAGGTTCCACTGTACACAACATTTGCAATAAATGTTTAGGGTTCTGTCAGGTAAATTTTTACATTTTAAATATACTCCAAACAGATGCATTCGGATTAGAGTGGTTTCTTAGAGAGGCATTGTTACATAATTACAAAGAATAAAGGACAATGTAAATCAGTTCAGTTTCCATGTTTTAAAATTGCTTACATTTCTTCAACAAACATGCACATTAATTGGTTAGTTTAACAACTAAAGTATGCCAGTTTAGAACTAACCTTACTAACCTTGAATTATCTAACACAATTCAAATCCTCTGAACTAGAGGCCTGAATCTGTCTAGAGATCAGAAAGCAATTGTGAAATAAAGAATTTATTTATACCTCTCTCTCTCTCTCTCTCTCTCTCTGTGTGTGTGTGTGTGTACAAACATACACACATACATGTATATGCATACACATGCACGCATGCACACACACACACGATCCTTAATTGAAGACTCAGACCATTCAAGAAACAATGTCAAGCAGTTACTTCATAACCGCCCGGAGAGTGCTTGTAGTGCTATGGGGTGGTATATAAGTCCAATCAATCAATCAATCAATCAATCAATCAATCAATCAATAAAAGGATTTGAGTTGTGGACTCGCTGTCAGGTGACTTGACTTGGCCTCAGGGTTTTGTTTTTTTCAGTGACTTGGACAATTCACAACTCAGAATCCACCAGCACCCCTTTTTTGTTGGCATGGGGAGCTTGTTTTTAATACAGACTTGGATTTGGGACTCAGGACTTGATACCAAAGACATGGATTTGGACTTGGGACTCAGACTGCCAACATCACTGGCTGTAACTAAGATCTATGAAACAGTTAGATCCACAGAACACTCCATAGACATAACATGTCATTGAAAGTGTTCTGTTAATGCAGTAGTTGTTCCAATGAGAGAGAAGAGATGTATTAGGTGGCCTTCAAAGCTGCCTTTTTCCAACACATCCCTATGCCAGCTCTGGAGCTGGCAGTTAATCTGCATCCCACCTATGTCAGTGGGAGAGAAACATCAAAAGAAGTGGCAAAAAAACCCATCCATATACACATATCTCATACTACAAAGGTAAAGGTTCCCCTGACAATTTTTGTCCAGTCGTGTTCGACTCTAGGGGGCGGTGCTCATCCCCATTTCCAAGCCATAGAGCCAGCGTTTGTCCGAAGACAATCTTCCGTGGTCACATGGCCAGTGCGACTTAGACACGGAACGCTGTTACCTTCCCACCGAAGTGGTCCCTATTTATCTACTTGCATTTGCATGCTTTCGAACTGCTAGGTTGGCGGGAGCTGGGACAAGTGACGGGCGCTCACTCCGTCGCGTGGATTCGACCTTACGACTGCTTGGTCTTCTGACCCTGCAGCACAGGCTTCTGCGGTTTAGCCCACAGTGCCACCACATCCCTACAGTATCTCATACTAAGGCACAGTAAATAACAAGGCACAAGAAAGTGGATGTAACTCTGTAACAGATTCCGCCACCCCCTATATCCAGAAGACAGTTCTGTACATGACCCAACATATCATATTTATAACACTTTGTCATATTTATAATCCTTGGTCTTCAAGATCTTTTCCCCTCAACTTTTATCTTTTACATGAAAATGTTGGATGTCGAATATTATACAGTGGTGCCTCACATTACGATTGCCCCGCATTACGACGTCACTTTAGCAATCGCAAAACGATGATCTAAATGGGCTTGTTTCGCTTTGCGATGATCGGTTCCCTGCTTCGGGAACAGATTCTTCGCAAAACAACGATTTTTCTACAGCCTATCGGCGGTTTCAAAATGGCCACCGGGTAAATAAAATGGCTCACCGCTGTTTTCTGAGATGAATTCCTCGCAAGTCAGGCACCGAAAATGGCCGCCCTATGGAGGATCTTCACTGCACAGTGAGTTTCCAGCCCATTGGAATGCATTGAAGGGGTTTCAATGCGTTTCAATGGGCTTTTTATTTTTGCATTATGATGTTTTCGTTCTACAGCGATTTCGCTGGAGCGAATTAACGTTGTAATGTGAGGCACCACTGTATTATATTAATACCTGGCCCATCAAGAGAATCCCAGGCGTGGTAACAAATTTTTAAAGATGGCTGTTTCATTGCTATTTAACAATTTAACAGAAAAAAGTATGCAATGTTCCACATTTAACCTCAATTTCTTCATTATGTCACCCAAATAATTCTACATTTCTAATATACCTATATAGACAAATGAGTTAAACCACTTTTGACTTCAAAGCACATTATTTACCTTGATATGTCTCCCCAGTACCATTCTGCATCCTGTAATGATAAGATGCAATTATCTTTTATTCCATTTGTATTTACGGAAGTTACTGGTTTCGATGGCTTTGGAGGAAGAGCTGAAAGAGAAATGTTGCTCATTTACTTTCTAGTTTTATACTGCAACCTCAATATGTTCAACAGGTATTCACTCAGGTAATAAGGCATCAACATAAGGTAGGGCATTGTATAGTACTGTATTAAAGATGTGTGGAAACTAGACAGAGGAAGGAGAACATCTTCAGGCTACAAACTTTTTTTAGCTGATATTTGATTAGTCATAAAACTACTACAGCAAGACATTAATTTATATGCTTGTTATAAAACAAAATATAGCTATCCTATCTATACTTCTACACACAGAAACCTCTTCATTTTAATTGGGATTTAGGCCTTGTTCAGGAAGGCACTCTTCAAATAATATATGGAAGCTCGTAGCTAGCTATAGTGCCAAACTTCATGTTACTCAGTGGTGGTGGTGGCACTGGTGGTGTGAAAGCTGGAGCAGAATCCTCTAACTACCTCGAATATCCTCCTGGTCTAAATGCTGCTACAGGAGATTCACAGGCTAGTATGTGAGCTAGTGCATCAAGATCTCCCAGTAGGTACATGTTTGCAGCTATGCGTTATAGCCTTGTTTTATGACTCATTATGTTCTCCTAATACCAAAACTTCCTGCAAGGAATTTCACTGACCAACAAGAAAAGATCTAATGTAACCCTGTGTTCTGCTTATGGTTTAGTGACCATATTGGATTTTAAAGATGTTGGATGATGAACTGTCCTTCTTGCTTGATTGGTAAGCAGGGTAGATTGATTTAAATCAAGACAATTTAAACCACAATTTAAATCACTAGTCAGTAAGATTCAATCAAAATCATTTTTAAATGTAGATTCATTCTTCCTGGTAGTTATAATCTTTAATATTTGCAAACAGATGAAGATTTCATATTTGGAATAATAGCTATTCAGATTAGTAAAACAGCTATATCGGAACTGATTTTAATTTAATAGGTTAATCATTCATATTTGGAGAACTACTTAAATTGTTTTATTTAACTAAAACAATAACATTATTATTTATTTATTTATTTATTTATTTATTTATTGGACTTATATACCACCCCATAGCGCTACAAGCACTCTCCAGGCGGTTATATACCATATTTGCCAGCGTACAAGACGACTGGGCGTATAAGACGACCCCCCCAACATTTCCACTCAAAATATACGGTAGAGTGGATGGCTCTGCTGCGGCAGCGCCGGCGGCTGCCCGGGGCTCTGCCCGGACCCGCCGTGGAAGTTCATGGCCAGCGACGAGGAGAGTGAGGAGGGGAAGCGGCTGGGCGGGCGGCAGCAGCGGAGGAGGAAGAGAGGAAGCAGCTATCCGGCGGCACGCGGGTGAGCGGGCAGCTGGCTCAGCTGCGAGGAAGGTGAGAAGGAGGGGAAGCGGGCAGATGGGCGGCAGCAGCGGAGGAGGAGGAGGAAGAGAGGAAGTGGCTATCCGGCGACATACGGGCGAGTGGGCAGCTGGCTCAGTGGCGCAGGGCGGCGGGCAGCCCAGCGCCGGGCTCTAGCCGCTCAGACATGGCCAGCTCTGCTTCCCTCCATCCAGACCGACTGCCTGCCCACCCGCCTGCCTTCCTCCCCTGCCGGCTCAGCCCCATATCACTCACTCAACGGCAGTGGCACCTTCCTGGCCCAACTGAAGTGCACCTGGTGTATAAGACGACCCCCCCCCCACTTGGAGGCATGTTTTTGGGGCCAAAAAAGTCATCTTATACACCGGCAAATACGGTAGCTTCTATATTCTTGTATTTGCTTAAACATAAATGTTTATTAATTGAAGTGGTTGAACAAAATATATTTTAAAAAGCAACAACACCTTGAAGTTATGTGCAAGATCCCAAGGTCAGTAAGCTGCTCAGAGATTTCACTTTCATTTTTACTACTTGCCCTTCTTCCTCACACTTAGAGCCTGGTACAGATTTATTTCAATCCAAACCAACTGCAAATCTACCATTTAAGGCAATGTGTTTATTGTTTATACATAGACTTGCAGAACAATGGAATTAAGGTCTTTTTCTGAACTTTGTTCATTTTATACAATTTTTACTGTGAAAAGGTGAATGTTATCTCAGCTTGGATAATTTAAGATTAATTGAATTAGTTTACCAAAAATTTAAATATTGCATGAATATGCAGCTTGATGCTCCATAACTAAGCTCTATTTCATGCTGAATCACTTTTGAACTACTGTATAATGTATATTAAATAGAAAACTATATTTACATAGATTTTTCCTCCAAAAGCATTTTGTTAAAATTAATGTGATTAAAATAAAAAATTCAATTTAAATTTTAAAAATTCAATTTTTAATTTTTTTTTAATCACTGATTTTAATCCACCCTGTTGGTTATGTATATATAAGGGACTTACACAGAGGAAGATAAGGGACATACCGGTAGTTCATAGCTTTTGCAAAGGCACTGAGGAAGCCAAGAGGTTGAAATGTATTTTCATTTTCCTCCAGAAATTTTTAATTGTATTTTTCAAAAAGAGTTGGCATACTTCATTTATTAGTATGCTGTCTCTAACTGGCTGACCGTTTTCTTGATTACTTTATTGTTTGACTATGTTTTTATTTTACTTGACATTGTAAACTATGTTTTGTGCTAATTTATGTATTTAAAATATTTTAAACCCACCTTTCTCTTTAAATAGAACCCAAGGTGGCTTACAACAACTAAAAGACAGTATTTAAGATTAGTAACAATGAGTATAAATATTAAAAGGTTCAATGAATACAATACCAAAAAATATTACCAACACCAAAACACACTGTTGCAGTAAGGTATAACAATCCATTTAAACACCCCACTCATCAGCCATTTACTCAGGGAAAGCTTGCCAAAGTGAAAGGTCTTCACCTGATTGTGGAAGGACAGCAAAGATGTGGCCAGTCTGGCCCTCTGTGGGAGGGAGTTCCAGAGTCTATGAGTGGCAACAGAGAAGGCCCTCTCTCAAGTTACCACCAAAGGTACCTGTGAAGGTGGCAGCATCAAGAAAAACACCTCTCCTGGTGCTCTTAACACTCAAGCAGGCTCATAAAAGGAGATGTGCTTCTTGAGACAGCTTGGGCCCAAGCAATTTAGGCTTTTATAGGTTAGAACAGTGGTTCCCAAACATTTTCCTTTCCTCCCTGATCCTGGGCATAGGGTGGTCTTTACTCAAGTATGGCTTCTCCTCCTACCCGAGTTCAGCTCCTGACTTCCTCGCCTGGGCCTTCAAGTCTCGGGCAGGCAAACAGGCAGGATCCTTCCTCCTCCACCACTGCTTCAGGGCGAGCTCCAGGCAGCAGCACTTTGCAAGGAGGCAGAACCAGAAAGGGCAGGTCTTGCCCCTACCCATCTCCACCCTGGCAGCTCAGCCCCTTTGCCCACTGTGGGAGGCAGTTGGAAGGGTGTGGACCTGGCCTGAGGGTGGTGACAATGGTGGTGTGCCCCCCCATCTTCCTCCCACCAGCCCTGCTTTCCATGGCCCTGCTAACTGCTAGTATGCGGTGTGGCTGGGTGGAGCCATCAGGTGGGGTCAGAGACAGGCAGCTCCATTCGCAGCCAGGAGACAGTTAAGCCCACCCACAAATAAGCAGTCAGGGTGGCACTAGCAGCCCCAGCCAGGGCGGCCAGATGCGGCGAGAGCAAGGTGGTAGCCAGGATCAGAACAACCAGGCACTGCAGAGGAGCTGTGGCTTTGGCCAGAGACTTTGCTCTGTGTTCCCAATCCTTTTCCCATGGTGCCCCTCAGGAGACTCAGTGGCACACCCACATGTTGCAACACACACTTTGGGAAAAACAGATGCCTGACATCCTGGGCGTCAGTGAACTAAAATGGACGGGAATAGGCGAATTCCATTCAGACGATTATCATATCTACTATTGTGGGCAAGAATCCCATAGAAGAAATGGAGTAGCCCTCATAGTCAACAAAAGAGTGGGAAAAGCTGTACTGGGATATAAACTCAAAAATGATAGAATGATTTCAATATGAATCCGGGGCAGACCTTTCAACCTCACAGTAATGCAAGTTTATGCACCAATCACCCATGCTGATGAGGCTGAAATTAACCAATTTTATGGAGACTTACAGCACCTTCTAGAACTGACACCAAAGAAAGATGTTCTTGTCATTATAGGACAGCAAACTGTGCCAAGAATTGGGAGTGCCTGATCACCATATCTATTAAAGAACCTTGTAATAAGGGTGAAAGAGGCTAGCACAAAAAATGGTCTGAAGCTCAACATCAAAAAAACTAAGATCATGGCCACTGGTCCCATCACTTCCTGGTAAATAGAAGAGGAAGATATGGAGGCAGTGACAGATTTTACCTTCTTGGGCTTTATGATCACTGCAGATGGTGCCAGCAGCCACAAAATTAAAAAATGCCTGCTTCTTGGGAGGAAAGCAATGACATACCTGTACAACATCTTAAAAAGCAGAGACATCACCTTGCCGACTAAGGTCCGCATAGTCAAAGCTATGGTTTTTCCAGTAGCAATGTATGGAAGTGAGAGCTGGACCATAAAAAAGGCTGACCGCCAAAGAATTGATGCTTTTGAATTGTGGTGTTGGAGGAGACACTTGAGATTCCCCTGGACTGCAAAGAGAACAAACCTATTCATTTTGAAGGAAATCAACCCTGAGTGCTCACTGGAAGGGCAGATTCTGAAGCTGAGGCTCCAATACTGTGTGAAGGCAAGAGGAGAAGGAGATGACAGAGGATGAGATGGACAGTGTCATCGAAGCTACCAACATGAATTTGACCCAACTCGAGGAGGCAGTGGAAGACAGGAGGGCCTGGCATGCTCTGGTGCATGGTCACGAAGCATCAGACACAACAACTAAACAACAACAACTAATTTAAAATCAGTCAAGAACTTGGTCCTAGACAGTTACTTGGGTGCACAGCTGTAAAATGTCCATTCGAGAACTAGGAAAGCATGTTGGCGAGCGTAGATAGAAGGCCAAGAGGATAGTGAAGTGTGGGAATATAAGGAGAAAGTCCACATTTTCTATACAAT